TTTTTTTTTTTTTTTTTTTTTTTTTACAAGACAAGCATTTGTCATTACATTTCGAATTTTTTTATTACATAAATAATGTTATATTTTATTGAGAAATTACATATATTTATCTGTCATGTTATATTTTATGCAATTTGTGATAATGTTGGGAATTTTTTTTAAAAAAAATTCCTGATATTAAATTATAGTGTCAAACTTAAAATTTCTATATATGGGGATTTAATTATAAAAATTCCGGATTTAAATCTGATTTCCTCTGAATATTAAACAGAATATACCAAAATTATAATAAAAATCTGTTGTATTTAAGTAGGGTATCCGTAATTTGAGTACTGCATTGTATAGAAATAGATTATTTTGTATTCTTTTTAGGATCTCTATAACAATACCGGTTTAATATATATTATAGATGCTGCCTAGTCAAAACTTTTGTAGTTGTAGATATATTTTTTCAATAAATTGTCTCTAGCATGATAAATAAGCTGGTGAAACCTGAAATTCAGATTAGGTGGCATCCATAATTTACGTTAAACCAATATCATTATAGAATTCTAAAAAGATTACAAAAATAATACTATATGGCATTATTTTCAAGATCCTATATCTATACAATACAGTACTGATTTAATGTAAATTATGGATGCTGCCTTATTAGAAACAATTGAGAAAATTACTGATATTAAAAGCATGCTGAGAATTAATTTAAAAAATAAATTGATCTTTTCTTCTTCGATATCGGTTGTAAATATATAATTAGATTTATTTTTATTTATATTCAATAGTTTAATTATAACAAATTATAACTTAGAACTTTGTCGATAGCATTTATCACATGATTTCACAGACATGAATATCTGTGAAATAATGTGATAATATTAGCTATCAGATCGTTTAAATATATTGCATTAAATTTTATAACTTTACACCTAATATCTTACTTTAATGCTAGTTATGAGTTGATTAAATAATGAAAGTAAACTATAATATTGTTTATATTTTTATATGATGAATATCGGGATAATAATGAAAGAAAATATTTAATACCTTTATAATGTTATAAGTCATATATCACCAATTAAAACGTATAAATGTTTAAAGATATTGGCAAAGTTACTATTTTTATTTGATATATAATATTGATATAAATATTTAATATATACAATATATAAAGAAAATGTGAATAAAAATAATATATATCGATATGAATTAAAGATATAAATAAAAATTAAATAAAAATAAATCACATTCATAAATTATACTTTCTATGTAAAGGAATTATGGCCATATATATTTTTGGATCATTTTCAGTATCGGTATATGTATCTGCTACAAACCAGGAATAGATTTGATATATGGGAATTATGCAGTCTCTGCTTAATTCATAAAATTCTTGATCCCACAATTCTACATTACAACTAGAATCATCACCTTTAATTTTTACCTAGAACCTGGTTTCATAATTTTTAACAGGTTTATACCACCTTACAAATGCAAGGTGATATGTTAGTTCACTAGAAGGAAGATGGATAGTGTGGTCGAAATAGAATTGAACTTAACCAGGATATGAATCTACTGATTTATCTTCTTAAGCAACAAATCTTGCTAGAATTTTTGAGGATTTGATATAGCGAGCCGAGAATGTAGATCTAAAAATTTCTGACCCCAATTTTAATCGCCCATATTGAATTATTTTGGAAAATACAGATATTTGATCAATTCCTGATATATCTCCTGGAGTGGTAAATTGATAACCTGTTACTCCATTGTTATAAAATTCGACTAAAAGGTCTAAAATATCATTTTGTAAAATGGCATTTTTCGATTTTGGACCAAGAAATATATCAGGAAATGGTTCATAGCCAAAAGATTCTTCTTGATCAATAATATTTCTTAATTTATAAAATTGAAGAAGATCTTGTGTTTCAAATTTATCTGAAATATTTATGCTACCACCCGATATTCATCTTTTTAATATTGTTAAAGAATCAGATAATCTGACATTTTTTTCGGTATTTGATACAACTTTATCTAAAGAATTATTTGTGAAAATAATTCTCAAAAGTTCTGGTTCTATATTCCTATAGCTGGTCTTATATGAGCCTATAAATATAAATTATATATATCAGTTAGTATTTTTATACTATAATGTATATATAATAATAGCCCGATATTTACCTAGGATTCTATTCATATGTTCAAAAGAAAACTACCAAAATGAATATAATGGTTCGTAATCCATACAATTTTCACATAAATGCAAACTTAAATAGATATTAGGAGTAATTTTTCAGGTTCATAATAGTGTTCTATTAACTTTGCAACATTTAATAATCTTTGATGAGCTTCGTTAAGTGATTCTTTGTCTAATATTCTACAGA